CACATGCAGTTACCCAAGGTTTTCACTTTGATCTAATTAAAGTCCATTCACCTGGGGATGGTTTAATGTCCCGGAAGTGCTTTCGTTAACGCCCAGCAAACGTGTTTACGCGAAGCCATCTCACATTCCTCTTATTGCGAGTGCTAATGGTTCGCCTCATCAGAGAAAATTAACATTAATTCTCGGGTTTCGTCGAATTAACGAAGTCAAAAAGCCTCTAAATGCCGTTAACCTCTCCGGCCGACCAAATCCCGGAGTCTTGTAGCTTACTATTATGTACTGTCACATTTCAATTACTGAAATAAGACGGAAAATGTAACCGTTCACTCTGAGATGGCATTCGCATAATTGGCTTTATACTTACGCCAGTATCCATTGAAAATCACGTAGTAAAACTCTCCTGGATGCAGTATTCCTCTCTATCTGCCTCTTTTACCTTTTAGTAATTTTAGTGATCGCCAGGCCAAGTATGACTTTGAATTTCCTGAGAAATATGAAGTCATTGAAAATGCTCAGTTCTGGTAAGGTCGCCGTTGTACAGTTTGATCCTTCTTCCTCAAATGTCTACGACGCGCTGCGCGCCTGGCGTTTGGCCATGAACTTCGAAATGGAAATTGGTGAAGCAGGTCTATGCCTTTTCATCTTGAACACCAATCCTACCGGATCAGGGTTCGACTTCTCGTCTCCATATTTGAACTCGGTGCGTAAGCAAATGACACTGTCCTAGCGTGTACTATGAATTAATTAGTTCGATTGAAAACAATCGTGATTTTGAGACCAGGTTTCCAAATTTGGCGACTGTTTACATTCTAGCAGATTAATTTAAAACTCCGAGTTTATCTTAGGGCAGGCTTATCCATCGTATTAAGTTTTTTTTAAGATTATGGTATACAGAGATTTAAAGGGCAAAACATGTGCCTACTATTAGCTTAGGAGTTTTCATTCAGATGATTGTTGAACATTTCAGGTGACAATTCGTTGAGTTTATTTATAATACACATCCCTCAATTTTTATCATTCTTTAACGGAAGTCAGCTGGTAGCCTCTTTTTGAATGCGTTTAGATTTTAACCCGACGTGTATACAATAATCAAAACACGTATATGTTGGACTAAAACATAATTACAGGCAAAGTGTGAAACTGAATTATGACAACATATCTGCGCTGTGAATGAGCATTTGATTTCTTCGTTCCAATACCGTTATTAACATCAAAATTCGTTGATTAGCCACCGTGATTAAGATAAGATTCTTTAAAATACCCTTATTACTGTACCTTAGAGTGGAAAAATTTGGGAATATTCGAGCAGATTTATGTATAGATGTAAGTTTAACTTAGAGCAATGTATTGCTGCTTTTTATGATAACGGAATACTGAGGTTAACATAACAAAAACGCACTCACTTTTGAGGGAAATCATCGTCGATAAATAGAGAAACGTCGCTTTTCATAGCTAGGCAGCAGCCTAGCGATTGAATCCTATAAATATTACAACTAACTGAGCAGAAGACGACTCGATCGCTGGGACAGTACTTTTATTCACCTGACGTTTCAAG